TACTGAAAGAACAAATACATGCTAATGAAAACCAGGTTACAAATGATAATATTAAAAGGGGTAATGTGGCAGGAAGCATGCATACATTGTCTCTTTGAGAACTGGGGTATACAGAACTGAATTTATGGAAGTACAAGAACTGAAAGCTCATACTAATTGGAATTAATCAAGGTTCTCAGTGTTTTGCCTTCAATGGATCACACTATTACTATGTTGCATAGACACTTCAATTAGGGTAGCTTGTTCATGTCGGTCCGGTCGAACACGCGTCGGATATAGATTTTTTTCAAACACTCTACCATGATCATTTTTCCTTTTTATTGGAAATATTATATATTTTTAACTCAAATTAATTTGTAAATAACAAATAGGTATTCATATTTAAAAGATTTCACTAAAAAAAATTGATAACAAATATAAAACTAAATTTATACAATATAAATGAAGAATTTAGAAAATCTAATCAACGTGCCGGTGACGTGTCACATCAATTCATTTTTTAAAAAATTGCGTGTTAGCGTATCCGACAAGTGTCTTATCGGATGTCCATGTCAGTGCATCATAGCATCCTTTAATCTTACTAGAACACTTTTGCTTCTAATGTTTGATGATGTTCCAATTCAAAATTTGTCAGTTGCTGTGAAGTTTTCTTTTAATCAAACTGACTTACTGAATATTGTAATGCCTCTAAAACCACATTAATAATTATGTCTTTATTTGTTGATTTGTTGATATCTGTAGACATTCCTGCTCAATGAGCTTGGCGTTTTTGATATTTGATAGGATACGGGTGCAGATCCTCCACCCGACGAACCTGAAGCTGAGGGTGGAGAAGATTGTGAACATTCATATATACTGAAAGATGACATCGGTGAAGTATGTCGCATTTGTGGAGTTATTGGGAGAGGGATTGAAACCATTATCGAGTACAATTTTTCCAAGGTATGGTTCCTTTCTTCTTTTTATGCCACCTGTATTAGATTTTAGCTCTGTAGTTTAAATGTGAAGCTCAGGAATTAGATGTGCGTGATCCTAATTATTCGAAAATTTATTTTTTACCTTTTGTAAAGCTTGAAAGTGAAAGTGAACTGCCTTAGGTGCATGAACTTGCTAGAAAAATTTATATAGTACACATATTATATCTGGTCTTACTAGTGCTCGCAAAACTGCATGGCCAAGTTTAGTGGTCCTCTATAATTGTACATCACAATCAGTTGGGGACCCTGCTATATTGTACTTCAACTGGGAATTTGTGTTTAACAGCTAGTTCGTAGTGTTGAGCGTTCTCAACTCCCTTGAAAATAACCAAATTTGGCAGCTACATTAATCCATGCGAATTGTTAACTGAGTAAAATTTATAGCTCAATTCTGTATTGTTTAGAGACAATTAAGTTTTTGGGCAAAATGTGGTTATCAATTTTAGAAATATTCTACATAGATTCTTTACAAAACTATATGTTTTCAAGTAAAAAACGCGGAATGTTTTACTAGGGCATTCATTTTTGAAAATTATCCAGTTTGTGTCTTTTATCTTTATCCTTCCTAGCTGCCTGTATATGAAATTTTTTAGTTAGTGTTGCAAAGTTCTGGTCTCGTACACAGAGATCTCTTTTTTTCATCGTTATGCATCATGTAGAACTCAATGTGCAGTTCTAAACTCTTCATAATTGAGTTGGCACCAAATGCAGACTCAATTTGTCTTTCAGTGCTTAGTTGGAACTCTTTTTTATTGAACTTCATTTTCATTTTCATTTCTAGATATAAATTATACTTCAAAGTCAATCGTATGAAGCAATGCCTATTTGTTCATATTAATCAAATCTTTCTCACGAAGAAGATCTAGTTCAGACAACTAAGTTCCCCTATATTAAATTATAAACAGGTCACCAGAAGTACTAGAACTTACAGATATGATGGGCGGACTTCTAAAGACAACGATCAACCAGAAATACTGCCTGATGGGTTCACACCGTCCGCTTCAGAGTTTACTGTTGCCGATATTTACCCACATCCACGGCACAAGAGGGTGATGAAGCCCCATCAAGTTGAGGGCTTTAATTTCCTTCTCAGTAACCTGGTGACTGATAATCCAGGAGGCTGCATTATGGCTCATGCTCCTGGGTCAGGGAAAACCTTCATGATTATCAGTTTTCTTCAGAGTTTCATGGCCAAATATCCGCATGCAAGACCACTGGTAGTGCTACCGAGGGGAATTTTAGCAATATGGAAAAAGGAATTTCTGAGATGGCAAGTGGAAGACCTACCTCTGTATGACTTCTACTCAGTGAAAGCAGACAGTCGATCTCAGCAACTGGAAGTTCTAAAGGAGTGGGCAAAAGAGAGGAGCATACTGTTTTTGGGTTATAAGCAGTTCTCTTCTATAGTGTGTGACAGTGATACTGGGAATATTCCTGCTACGTGCCAAGAGATTTTACTGAAATGCCCTTCCATTCTGATCTTGGATGAAGGACACACTCCAAGAAACCAGGACACTGATGTTCTGACCTCCCTTGAGAAGGTCCAGACACTGAGAAAGGTGGTGCTCTCTGGGACACTCTACCAGAACCATGTGAAAGAAGTTTTTAACATCTTAAATCTTGTTCGTCCAAGGTTTCTAAAGCTGGAGACTTCTAAAATAATCAAGAGGAGAATTCTGAGCAGAGCTGAAATGTCAAGTAAAAGGAACTCGATGAAAAAGATCACAGACAAAGAATTTTGTGAATTAATCGAGCACACTCTCTTGAAGGATGAAAATCGCGTGAGAAAAGTGAATGTCATACAAGATCTACGGGAGCTCACCAGAAAAGTATTGCACTATTACCGAGGAGACAACCTGGATGAACTTCCAGGACTTGTTGACTTTGCCGTCTTTCTTCAACTGAGCCCCAGACAAAAGGTTGAAGTTCGAGAGCTGAAAAACTTGGCCAGAAAATTTAAAATAAATGCCGAAGGGAGTGCAATTTATGTGCACCCACAGTTGAAGACTCTGTCAAAGAATTCTGGAGTGAAAGACAGGGTCGACGAGGAGAAAATTGATGGAATTTTGGAGAAATTGGATGAGAGAGAAGGAGTGAAAGCTAAATTCTACCTGAATCTTCTCCAGCTCTGTGAATCCTGTGGTGAGAAGCTACTTGTTTTCAGCCAATACCTTCTGCCTCTGAAGTTCTTGGAGAGGTTGACTGTGAAGGTGAAGGGTTATAGGCTCGGAAATGAAATGTTCATGATCACGGGTGACTCAGATTCTGAAACTCGAGAGTCTTCCATGGAGAGATTCAACACTTCACCTGATGCTCGAGTCTTCTTTGGTTCGATTAAAGCGTGTGGTGAAGGGATTTCTCTTGTAGGGGCTTCGCGAATAATTATATTGGACATTCATTTGAACCCGTCAGTTACCCGCCAAGCCATAGGACGTGCCTTTCGACCTGGTCAGCTTAAGAAGGTATATGCTTATAGATTGATTGCTTCTGGTTCACCAGAAGAGGAGGACCACAAGACCTGCTTCAGGAAGGAAAGCATAGCAAAGATGTGGTTTGAATGGGACGAGCATAGCGGTTTACAAAACTTTGAAATGGAGACTGTGGATGTGAAAGAATCTGGAGATTTGTTTTTGGAAACTCCACGATTAAGGGAAGACATAATTGCTTTATTCCAAAGGTAAGTGAAGATCACGTTCTCTTGAATGATCACCTTACATACACCCTCGAAATTTATTTATTTAGCACCTGTTTGATGCACATTAAAAAGAGAGAATGCATTTTTTTGAAGTGATGTATGGGAAATATGTGGTTGAAAACGAAGGAAAAGTTATTGATGTGATGGAAAATATTATTTTATTGAAGAATGTGTGGTTGAAAATGAGTAGAATAATGAGAATGAAAAAAATAATGTGGATCAAACGGGGCTTTAATTTTTTTGTTCTCGTCATTGTCAGGTAAATGGTGACAACAGTGCTGAGATTCACTTGGTTATAGTCTGTCCCTTTCATGGATTTTGGGCTTAGCTTGCTGCATAATTCGTAGTATGAATTTGTGGAATGTATTTTGATTGAGGTTTATTAGAACTTGTGAATGTGACTGGAAATGAAGATNATATATATATATACACACACGTAGTTTACAATAGTTTTGGTATTGCTTATCGTTGTGCACACCCGGCCTTTTGTTGCGGATAATAGCTTTGAGTTTACCTTTTAGGAGTCAATTCTGTAAGGTAAATGAAGAATTAACACTCATTATTAAATATTTGAGATAAACCAGTCTATGCATTCGCATATTTACTACCATTTTTATGTATAAGATGACCCATATTTCTATGTACAAATTACTGCGAGACCCTTGTTCTGTTGATTTTAGAGTTGGTCTATATTTGATTGTGTGGTGCTAGACTCAGAAAGTGATTGTTTCCTATTTGGCGAGAAGCCATTTTGTTTGTTTTTCTGCTTTTGTGCAAACCCTTATTTTGAAACCATTGACATATTACTTATGAATATGAAGGTGTAAATAGTGGCTGGCCTAGCCCGATATGCCCCTTTTCTTCATTCATTATATTTGAGTCGAGCATGGCTCAGCTGTAGAGCCATACCAGGTCGGCCCATGGCTTGGCCATGATGGGTTGGGTAGTTCTTTTTACAAGCCTGGCCGAGCAACCCCAAGTTCACGACATATTTTGACACACCTTGATGAATGCAAACTTTGGCACTTCTCCCATTGTACCTTTTTGGTGTAGAGGGACTCACTCCTTCACCTTCAGTATATTGCAAACTTTCATAACAAACTTTACATCAATCAAAATATAATGTTTCTATACAAACACGGTGCCTTCCAAACCAATCTTTTGCTAGCTATATTACAAAAATATTTCATAGTACGAAATAAAGCGAGGCTTCTTTATCTTTGATGAATTTTTCAGAAGGGGGCAAACGCTTCTTCTGTCCAATGAAACCAGAAGCCTTTTTCTCACGCTACAAAATCATGTAAAATACACGATGAGACAAACTCATGCTACCGGTTTGCAGAATCCATAAAGTCAAATCCTGGTGTCCCAATCCCTGTAGAAGAAGCAGATGCATTATATACATCATTGCCTCTCACTATTGCAAAATTACGAGGAGTTTCATTAGAAACGGGTAGGCTACCACCCTGCAATCCTAACATGAGCGATACTCCGTTTCCACTTCCAAATCTCTCTAGCTCAGAAATCTGGAATGCGGCTGCCATAAATCTTTCGTCGCCATAATTTGACTGTATTATCTTATGTGGAAAAAGGCTCTGATCATCCACGGGAAGAGGGATTTGTTCGACTCTACTTTGTCCTATCAGATTCTGGTATGAGGGATTGGTGTCTGATCCCACCATTTCTACATCAGGGACATGATCAGAAATTGGCTCAAAGGGTTGCCCAGTTCTACAATGCTCGGTTTCTGTGGGAGACGTGGTTTGGTACAAGTCCTCTGATGCTTTTGCATCAGTTTTTAAAGCTTTTTGTGCAGATTCAGAAGAAATAGTGTCTATCTCGACATCACCAACCTCTTTTTTGTACATTTCTTCGACCATAGGCTTCCAGAGCCGAACTCGTGCATTTATGAACCAGTTTGAGACCTGATCCAGGGCATATATCAATCAACAAAAACATACATGAGTCGAGTATTCAGTATAAAGACACTGACAATTAATTATTTCACAAGAGAAATAATTTTATGAGATGGAGATTGTTTCACCTGACTTCTTGTCAAGCCGGTCTGCCTTGCTAGCATGGTCTTGTCCGAATCTTTAGGGTAGCTGAAGAGAGAAAAAATAATCTATCAAATGTTAGAATTTTATAAACAAACTTAATAGTAGAGAGAGAGAGAGAGACAGAGACAGAGAGAGAGAGAGACAGAGACAGAGAGAGAGAGATGTTTAAAACAAAATGGAGTTTTGCAGAACGAACGGATGAAGGAAGTGCTCGAAAAGCCAAGCACGCAAAATTGAAACAGAGCTTTCTGGGAGTCCCCTCTGTGTCCTCCAAGCATGTGGTCGCATCATTCCGAGTTGCTGAAGGGCTCTCTGTTGCCTGAGTCGCTGATCTACATGACGCAGTCGAGATATTCTAACCCCTTTACCATTTGCTGAAGAATCTTCCTCTCCAAAGCTGTTTTGAGCCACACGAATCTGGCCATTTATTGCATCATGCAAGGAACGAAAGTGACGAGATATTGTCTTAAGGGCGAGGGACGTGTAAGGTTTGGCTGCACCACATCCTGCTATTACATCAAAAGATGACACCACTGTTTGCATCTGATGATAATACTGTCTGTACCTTTGATCAACCTGTAATGATTAAATCTTGAATGAGAAATGAAAATGATTGAGAGAGAAAAGACAATTAGTCTGCCTGCTTTTCAAGCTTCAACCATCTTGGAGCAGGGTATATAATTATGAGATGCCTCTCCAAGAACAGATTTATACATGGTTAATGTCTTGGCAACAAACCAGAGGCTCATTTAAATATTGTGCCCAACAATATTGTTTGATTACACAATTAACGATTAGGAAATAGTAGAAATCGAACTCTTAAAATCGCCATTGACGAGAAAAGTTAATTCATTGGCTTTAGCAAGTCAAGACAGGGATTGTACCTCGTCCAACATTGATAAAAGCTTTGAGATCTTATCTTGCACGTCCTGCTTCTTGGCAGCTGAAAGTTCACTAGGAAAGATGCTGCTAGACTCCTGCGGTGTTGAAGATATCCCAGCTGCAGAAGGGTCCGAGGTTCCATTCCCCGACTCTCCATCAGCTTCTTTGGCAGTTTTAATAAAGCCGATGTGTTGCTCCATAATAGCTTGTCTGACATTAACAACTTCATCCAGCAATCGTTGAGCTGCTTTCAAGTACTTGGAATTAGGAACCACACTAGGAATACTCGACATTCCATATGCAGGGACATCAGCCTTTTTCGCATTCAAATTGCTTCTGGGAACATCAGAAACCATATATTCATTACGCCATTGCTTAATCTGAGAATCGTCGTTTTCTTCAAAAGAAACATTCTGGCCCCTGGTTTCACCTGATATAGATGGATTCGGACACGATAATGGGGAGAAATTGGGATTAGAGCTCAGATACTGGATAGATGACATATTCATTCGTGATGGATTGTGTGTGCTGAGACTCAGGGATAATCCTCGTCCCTCCAAACTTGTAGCGCCTCGAAGAATGCCAGAAACTCCACCCATTGGATGAATCATGCTAAAATCATGATCCACAGTTGATGATCCTACAAGATTTGATAGAGTTTCTTGTCGAGACGGGTTGGAATCCAAAGATCCAATGGGCTGAACATCTGAATGCGACAAGAAATTCATATATATCCCCGTATTACCAGGAAGAAATGTTGTTTCAGAATATGAACCGGGTAAAGGAACCCTTGAATAAAGCATTGTTGTAGAGTCTCTTTGATTATTTGAACTCGGAAAACATGTAGCCATCTTTTCGATGGAGTACCTAATTCTCTTTCTACGTAGGAAAATCCAGAGAGATGACCAAATATTCCAGGCAATTCTGGGCAAAATTCACCACCAAAGATACAAAATAGATTGTGTGATCATGATCTTCTAATGTTCATATTTGCTCACAATATAAGCTTCAGAGAGCTACTGGTACTTTTGGCAATTCAATTATGAAGCAGAAATTACATACGACATGTTTGGTCGGGAAGATTGGACAACACTAAAAAAGAAAAAGAGGCATTAGTTATACAGTCCAGTCGTGCCCAACGGTGCGTAGTGAGAAAGCAAATCCTGAAACAATACCTTCCATTAATATGTATATGCTTGAAAGTAACAAATAACATTGCAAAATTAAACGAAAGGTTGAATTATCAGTTTGTTGATAAACTAGAGTGTCAATATTCAAAATTCAACAATCAAGAATGCTTACCAATCATTCCAAAAAAAAATTTATTATTTATTTTTTTATTTTTTTAAAGCCTTAAAAACCGGTCACTGGAATATCCAGTTTTTCAATCCAACAAAACAAAATTAGTGATCAAAATACTGAGAAAAACAATAAAGCATTCAATCATGATCAAGAAAGTATCAACTATCAATTTACCTATTCTAATAGGGAAAAAAAGAAAAAAAAAAA